AGGTACTTTTCACTAAATCTCCAACTGCTATGGCTCCAATAAATGAAGACTGGTAAAAAAGGTATAAGAAACTGAGCATCGGCAAAAAGATTTAATTCAAACAATAAAGAAAACGTACCAGTCGCGCATTTTCAGCGCGTTCTTCGGTAGCCTCATCTTGGAAAATTCGCACAGGTGCTAGAGACTAGACATTTGGATGAAGGGTTAGCCTACGCACTAAATCAATAACAATAGTATAAATATTGACCGCTAACCATGTTAAGATCGCTTAATGAAAATTTTCTTTAAGATCGAAACTGTTGAATTCTTTTTGTATTGCAGATTTTGGGATCACGTGATCGACTAAAATACAATTATTATATTACTAAAGCTATTCAATCTGCTGATACCATATATGGTAATATTTTTTAAATACAATTTTTAAAAATAATACTGTATATTATTTTGTAATTTTAGTTCAATAAAATAGTAAATAATTAATTATTGATTTTGATTTTTTTTTTTTGATTTTATATTATAATAATTAATGATTATGACAATTATTTTATTTATTAAGTTAAAACGTAATAACATAAAATTATGTTTTGTTAAACAATTTTTTTTAAATTTTAAAATTTTAAATATATTTTGGCAAAAATATTCGTTTATGAATTATATATATATATTTTGTTAAAACAAACAATAAAAATAATTTTTAAAATAATAATAATAGACAAATTATTGTTTTTAAAAAAATATTGTAATATTATTTTAAAAAGGATATAGATTTCATTACTAAAAAATATTAAAACTTTTTAGAAAGTCTGTTCAAAATAATAAATAAATTTACATTTATCATACTAAAGTGTATTCTGCAATATCCTTAATAATTGACATAATAGTACAAGCATTTGATTTTATATAGCATTGTTGTTAACATAACATATTATAACCATGTTTTCTTTTAAATTCCAATCTAATATTTAGAAAACGATAATATCCGTACACAAGAATAAATCTTATACCTAAATATACCATTTATTAATTGTAAAATAATAGATTCTCTCAAGTCCTTTCTTTACTCTCTATCTCTTTTAATAAATGCATCATATATTCTATCTTTATTTTCACGCAACTAAAAATTTAATTATTCTTGTTAAGCATGAAGTTTATGAATATACAAAAATTTAAAATAATTCGTCTTACCTCCTCTAAAGATACACCATCTTCGATGCTTTGTATAATATTACGGACGACTGTAAAATAATTTCCATCTGTTTTGTCATCACGAAATCTTAAAAACCTCCATTTTCTTGATTCATCACGAAATACTTCCACTATACGACCATTAAGATTTAATCGTTTTTCTGACGTTTTATCATCAACTATTATTTCTTTTTCCCGCCACCTGAGTTTTTTACCAAATATTAGGCAACTATTCATAAATTTTGTAGGATATGTTATATAAATAGCACTTACTCTTCCCATTCATCTTCAACATACAATTCATCATAATAATGATAGCCCTTTTTACCCCTATTCTCATGTAACTCGAACCTATCAGGTCTCTTATCTGGGTATTCAGGTTTTCCATTCTGATAGAACAATATCAATTTAAAATCGATGGAATTTTCACTTGGCGGTTTCCATTTTAGCCTTTTTAAAAAAATCAATATCTTAGTATCTATTTGAAAGTTATTCTAAAACTAAACACAATAATACATTGCTTCACATGTCCCAATTTTGTATGGAGCAGATATTGCCGTGAAAATCAATCCGTCACTATTGTGTTTGAGGGTCGATAACTTTTTGTATGTTTCGTCGAAATGGTATGCTTTCACCATGGGTTTACACACCAAACTAATATAAAATCTCTATTAGAATATTATTGTGCAGATCGAGTAGACTTATCATTGATGACTTACTCAAACGGTAGATCCTTGGGATTCACCCTTCTCTTCCATTCTATGTGAGGCTTGAGCACATGAGACTCAAAATACTCGAATATGAAAAAATTATATCATCACATGATTCTTATAAAGTAAATATGATTTTAAATTAGAATAAATAACTTACGCCCAATCTTTTCTGTAAGGGCCTAGACATTAGATTTTTCGTTCTATCCAAAAGGCAATCGAAAACATATAATCTAGTTGTTATCTAAAAGATCGATAAAGAATTGATATAGGGCTCCTAGATTTAACGAGCTTCAATGGAAAAGGACCTACTGATTTATCCTCTTCGATATCATTAACAATTTCACCGTCAAATAATGTATCTTTTTGGAATTTCGACTTGTCATCAGGATCAGGAAATACCATATTTTTAATTTGACGGTAATGATTTTTTCGATCAATCTGCGAGATCATTAAACGAATTATTAATGCAAGTATGATTCTAAATTTATAATTACTAAATAATACAAACCAAATAAACCCTCTGTTGATTATTATCTTCCGTCAGAAAAACCAGTACACGTACTCCATCAGATTTTTCGCATACAAAGTAGCTAAATCAAAAATTTGATGATGACATAAAGAACAAAACAAATTCCTTTATTTAATTTATGATAATTTACTACGATTTTTACCTTTCATCTATCAGTTTTTGTATATGATTTCTGGTTAAGCTAATGGGGTGAGCACCTACAAAGATAAGTTTTAGAACAATTCATTTAATAAATTAAAAAAAAAATGCACATTGGTCATATTAAATCTAGCCCATACCAGGAAAACTTTGATCCAAAAATGGAGAAAGGTTAGAATTCAAGAAAAAAAAATATAATAATAATATTGCTGCAACAAATTGTTCCATCAAGTAAGAAATTTACCCGAAATCTCCGCCAAGTAAATAATTTATTTTTTCTTTAATAAATCTACTATGCTCTTTTTTAACTAATTCTCCTGGGATTTCTGGAAGCGTCTCTGTAATAATATGCATAGTAAAAAAAAAAATAATAGATAAAAAAATATTATGGGTTATAAGCGACTGTAAAGTAATGCCTTTGCAATCATAATGTAGACTATTTGTTAATCATGCGATCAATCAATCGCATCATCTCTTGTGACAATGATTATGTGTACTTAAATTGATCCAACAAGTATAAGAATAAAACCAACCTGATGATGTAAAATCCTCTAATTTTATTGTTTTACGTACACTACGTGTGTTTCCATTACTGTTCACATTGTGGATAATGATTAATTCGGATTCAAGACGAGTGTTTAGAAACACGCATAAAATTAATTATTATAACTGGTTGACATCCTCGATTAAGTCGATCTTTCGTTTTCCTTGGATTTTTCCTTCATTATTCTCTTCACTCTATAGAAAGTAAATCTAGTAAATATCTGGTTAGTAGACAAACCACTTAGAGAATTGACTTAACCTCTTTCAAGGGATATGTCGAGTTCTACAAAGAGACAGCACAATTAATATCAACATTATGTAATAGTTACTAAAAAACCAAGTAAAAATATAGCACTTTATTGCTTTGCCCCGCCGATACTTCATGATTCTCAGGGTTATCAGACTGAGACTTAGATTATTTATAGTTATGTTAGTTCTAAATCACGAGTTCACAAAAATCATTCGAATCCTACCTCCGACGAGGTATTCAAAAGTGGAGTCGTTTCGTTTGACATTATTAAAGAGTTGGTATGCTCAGTTTTAAGTATTATTTTCAAAATGATCTTCAAGAATTAAATACGGATAAAGTTCATAAAAATTGGCGATTGCGAAGTTAACACTCAAAATTTTTAAGTCTAACAAACATATCAATATTGAAATCATTTTTACTTTGTTAAAGTATTGATAAAGTTTTTTATAAATCTTAATCATTTATTTTATTTTTTTCTTGGTAAACATCAATTCTTGATTTTAATATATACAGTATATAGAAATATACATTTGCAAAAGAATTTATATCTTTTGGCAAAATTGAATTAAATGCTAGTCTATCAAAGTAATTATCTTAATTATATTGGAAAAATTAATATATTGGCTAAATAGTAGCATGTCAGATCATACAATTTAAAAAGGACAAGAAATTTTTTTTTAAAAAGTAAACTATTACATATTAATATTTATTTAAATAACTTTATATTATATTTTTGGCTTATATAGCTATAAAATCAGAAAGAATCCAATATCAATATGTACTTTTTACTAAACATTTTAAATTAGAATTTTTAATAGATACAAATTAATCAAATCTAAAGATTTTTAAGATATAATTTCAATATATATATATATAGTATATATTTTGGAGGTTTTTTCTATAGGTAAATATTATATTTTTATTTACAGTAATTTGTATATAACAAAGTATCCAGTATATTATAAAAGAAACAACATCTTTTACATATATAAAATAGCAAGTTAAATGCTAGCTTATCTATGTATACATATCTAGTTAATATTGAAAAAAAATAATTTCAATATTTTTTAATAAATATTTTAATTAATTTAAACTATTACTAGTTTAAATTAAATTATTAAATTAATAAAAATTTATATTAAAGTAAGCCTAATAGGGCTATAATATATTAATAAATTATAGATATATTAGTGCTAATATTATAAATTCAATTTCTAGTGATGGCAATAAGTTATAAACCTATTCTAATAAGCTATATTAATAATTAACTATATGCTATATATAATATAAGTTTTTATATTCTATAATTCCAATTGTAATTTTATTAACTTGATTAAAGGTTTAATTAAAAATAACTAAATATATATTCTCTTATTCACAAGATTTAATATAAGATATAATAGATTATTGATAAACTATTACTAAAATGTTATATATATTAAAGAGTATTTATTAATCAGTTCAGGCAAGAATTAAATCTTGTTTAAAATTTAAAAACAATATACAGTCAAACCTAAATATAATGAAGCCTTTGGCTAATTAATAAAAATTAAAAAAAATTATTTAAAAATTCATTATAATAAATTTTAAGTAAATTCAAAATTCAAAAATTTGTTATAACCAGTATTTTATTATAGCTTCATTATAAACAAGTTTGTTATATTTAAATTTTGACTGTATAAAGATAATAAATATCAATTGTCTAACTATCAAATATATATTAATATTGAATGACCATAACTTGGAATTAATCCTTTTCAGATTTTACAAAAAAAAAACTCTTTTTCATTTATTATACATTTCTTAAAAATTTCTTTTTTAAAAATTTTTTTTTCTTTGAAAGAAACTTTTATTAAAGAATTTACAAATACATTAATTAGTAATATTTTATTGTATTTTCTTTAAAAATATAATTCTTGCTAGTAAAAAAGCTATAGATCAAAAATAGTTTTTTTTATTTTCAAACAAGTTACCTTAAATAATAAATAAAAGTATTATTGAAGTTTATATTAGCTCTTTAATAACAAAAAATCAGATAGTATTTTTTATATAGTTAAAAAATATAGACTAACAAAACATAAAAACAATGTTGACATAAAATATATAATTATAAATAAAAATAAAAATCAATATTTTTTACTCTTTTTTATAAACTTTACTTATAGTATAATATTCAATCTTTAGTTTATATAATTAAATATTTTGTGACTAAACTTTATCTAATCATAATAGATAGCAATAGTGATATTTCACTTAAAATAAAAAGTAAAATAGCTAATCTTAGTTAAATTAATAAAAATTAATAAAAATTAATAAGAAGATATAAGAAGTATAAGCCAATTATAAATTTTTTTAAAAATAATAATAGCATATAAAATGAATTTTAAAACAATAAATAATTTTTTTTCTTTTGTAGTTTTATAAATATATTCTGCAAATTTTAAGAGAATTTTTTTGCAACATCAAAAAATTTTTTAGACAAAGGTTTTTAAAGATCTTTAGATATAGATTTTTAGAAGATTTTTGTTATTATTAAAAGATTCTAGAACAAAAATTTATATATTGATTTCTGAAAATCTTTGATATATTTCAATAGTAATATTTATTTTTTTATTTTGGTAAACTAGCTGAATCTTGCCATAATACATTTTATTATTTAGAGTTATATGTATATTTCATATATTAAAGGAATTACTATCTATGATTTAACTACAACATCACTTAACTATATCAATTTTACTCCATATTGGCTTATTGCTATTGACATAGCTCACAAGAAGTAAGTGTCAAAGCTAATATACCAAAACCTTATTAGTATTGCAAATTATACTAATCTGTTCTATTTTGGATTTTATATAAGATTAAAGAAAAGTTGAAATGTAATGCACTGGGGTAATATCTATCTTGAATAAATAGAATCCTGTTAAAAAAATTTTCTATATCCTATATTATATTAACTTCTAAGCTATCCAAATAGTCAAAAACTTATATTGACTAACTGTCTATAACGTTGGTCTAATTGCAGCTGCCCAATTTGAAGAGGCAACTATCACAGCGGTTCCAGAAAGAATCTTTATAATTACTTCTATAGAAAAAGACATCCAAGTATTATGGAAAAGGATTATCAAACCATCATTACTCAAAACTGGACTTCTTCTTCATCTTTTTCTAACCATCTTCTAATAATTATTGTAGTATCAATCAGACGATCATTATGCCATAACTCCTTTTATAACTAGGTCACAATCTCAATATTTACTGGATCAGCATATAAATTAGCTTCTTATAAAAAACAGTGCTTAACAGGTTATGATACCAGATACCAGTTTTAATCTGGTTCAATCACCTCCACATGGAATTAAACTGGTATCTTGTGATTTGACATGTAAAGTACTAACCACTGTACTATTAACTCACAAGTATTTTAATAATAATATAATATATTTATATTTATATATTATAATTAAATAATACTTGATTTAAAATATTTAATTGACATAATTAACAAGTTTAAAAAACTCTCTCCTGATTGCATCCGTTTTGTTAAAATTTTTTCTTTTATGATAATTTTAAGCAAGAAAAAATGTTTTACACTCTTTATCGCAAGTGAGCTCCAGCTCAGGAACTCAAAAACCTTCAAGACAACTGGTACAGTGGGATGGGACCTCTGGTCGAAGTCTATTCAAGTTTGGGAGTCTTGCTTATCCT